AAAACCTGAAAGCATTGTTAAGCAATATCTCTGCTTAAAATTGTTTAGTTCAGCTGTTTATCAAAATGTGTATAATTGACGATATGAGGAGGAATATTTCGCTGTATATTTGAAAGGAATCCATCATCTTTGTGAACCATTTGACCAACGATGCAACAGAAATGCTTGTAAGACAGCTACTATCTTAAGTACATCACATTATTCAGTGTTCCACTCCTTCAGCTTCTATATAATTGAAAAAAATCATTTGGATTAGGTATCAAATTTTAGCAACAACGTGATCATCTGGTTGATATCCTGGCAAAATTGACCATTTTATCGCGAACTGACTAGCACAACGAGAACTCATTCTAGTTCTCCGAAATTTCTGAGTTTTCAACACAGTCAATCAAATCCAATTTTACTGGAAGTAAAAGTCCATACGACAGTAGTTAAGAAATCGCAATTTTCAAATGTATTCAACGTACGTTTTGACATATTTATATGACTCGCAGGTGTTTTGCATGTTCAAAGAAGAACATATTGGAAGCAGAACAAATAATAAAAAAATGATTATGATGAAAACGAAAATTATTATGTGAGAATAAGAAAAATGCCAAGTGGCATTTACATCAACTCATCCTGCATTCGGCATGCATTAGCCTGTTCACTGGAATTCTTTATATTATCCTGATTGGATATTTAGCCTGAAATCTTCTAAATTCTTTAGCTGTTTATCAAATTACCATGGAGTTCAGTGATCTACTTTCACTTCAGGTCTATTTTTTTGTTTTCAGTTAGCAGCACCGATTTTCGCTGTTGGAATTTGAAACTGAGTGACATTAGAATATTTATTAAGAAGACTTAAAGTGTATCTTGTATCAACTTGAAACTCCTAAACAGCGAAGACGGATTTCAAGTGTGAGAAGAAATTATCCTATGTTCATTGACTGATTAAAGTTACTGACTTACAACTAATATCAATAGATAACTGCAGTGACTGGTGATCAGATTAGTCAGTCCACCAACAATATTTTACTTCAACTTCGAAATTTCTACAGATTGAGGTATTTGCTAATAAACAATTATTATTCTCAATGATTTGGTGATTCCGTAGACGGTTGCTTGGATTCCATTAGAAAGATTATAGACCCCATCTTGTTAGGAGTATTATCTTTCGGATACCTGGGCTGGTTTTTATTGATCACTATGTTTATTATATTTTTAAGTTCAATTGAAATTTTTTTTTCAGTCTAAATGTTAATTAACTGCTGCGACCATATTCGCTTTGAATAAAATGAAAGCAGCAGTAAATTTGTGAAACAACATATTACGCTTCATCAAAAAAACGTTGATTAGCATTCCATCTGTATTCGATACTGATGTTCTCACATAATGCTTTGGCCCACAAATTTACAGTAAAACTATTCACATTTCACATGCGCATATATTAAATTATTTCGAAAAAAAATAGTTCACTGACAGACAATTTATCTCGAAATAGCTAATGCAGTGAACATTGATCGCAGTAAATATTCACACAAACCAATAAATGTACTTTAATCTGTTTCACAACAACTTGAGATTGAAGAGCGTGTAGTAATTTGTGAGTATTTCACAGAAAATTATTTAATTTGGAGTGTTCTTTAAATGGTCAAAAACAAATCTGCGTTATTACTGTCTAACAGAGATTATCTTAACACAAATTTGTTGAAACCGTTAGTTGCGTATCAAAGTTTATCGGTTGATTTACTCTGATCTAATTGAAGTGCATAGGTCAATGTTATATAAATGAGATTTTGTGAGAATACAATTTGTGCTGAACAGTGATTATAATTTGATCGGTAGGTGATTTTATTGATAAACAGGTATGCTTTAGTTATCTTCATTATAATAGACAACGATATCTGAGTGTTTAGTTGATTCTGGATGACGACAATTGGTTCGCAAAAAAATGGTAGCGAGCAAGTTTACCATAATTAGGGAAGAAAACGACAGTTCAGAGTGGCTTTTGAGTGTATTTTTCATCATCATAAATAATCAGCGAAATATTCATCATCATATCGTTAATTATACACATTTTGCTAAACAGTTAAACTGAGCGATTTTAAGTTCAGGTTATTTGAAAGGAATCCATCATCTTTGTGAACAATTTGACCAACGATGCAACAGAAATGCTTGTAAGACAGCTACTATCTTAAGCACATCACTTTATTCAGTGTTACTCTCCTTCAGCTTCTATGCAATTGAAAATAATCATTCGGATTAGGTATCAAATTTTAGCAACAACCTGATCATCTGGTTGATATCACCGAACATCAAAGTCATAATTTTCAACAAAACTGTCAAAACAGTTTGACTCTCTTGGGCGGAAATTTGTATAGGAACGTAAGCCATCTCACGGAATAAACAAATGTTTATGAAACAGTGGTCTGTATGGCAGGCTTCGGCCCCGCTTGTCAGAAAGCCTAACCATCAACTTTGTACGCAAGAAAACAAATTAGATTCCAACAGACGATGAAATCCGGAAGAAGCGCTGATGATTTTAGAAAGGCACACACTGAAGGAATCACTCACCTGTACTACAAGACCAGCTCTCACTTGCATGCGTGGCTATAAAAGAAACCTATAACTCTGAGGAATATTGACACACAAGAAAAATGAATAGAGATTAGTTAGAACGATAACGGAGTTCTCAAGAGAGATTTAGTGAGTGGATGCTGGTCTCCAGACTACGCTCATTTAGAACGTAACAAGCATAAGTAAGTAAAAATGTTTCATTACTGATGTCATTATCGCGTTCGAGAGGTATGTGATAGGTCCGGACGCTAACTCTCTTTACAAGCATTATTGTTTACGATGACTACGTCACACTGTAAACTCCACAAACATATTTATTCATGGATGCTGCGAAGTGTCTCACAAGGATGAAATAAATAATAATTTCAACAATCGCGGATAGAACAATAATCTTGTTCACATTTCCTAACTTGTCATATGATATTTGATTCATCATTTTTCTATGGAACATTTAAATATGTACGCGATACCACCGTTGATGACAGGTCAATTATGTCAGTTACATCTTGTTTTGTTCCAACTATTGTACGAATGTACATTTCAAGATTTACAGTGAATGAATTACGGAAAACTGATCGTCTACTGGTTGCATCATTATACACACGCAAAGTACTCTTTTGTTTCAAATGATGGTTGTTCTTGATTACAGGTACTCATACTCACTGAAATAAAAACTGTCATCATATCGATGACTTCAATTATCTCTTTTCTGTTGTAAATTTCTCTACAAGTAAATATGTCATTCTTTCAGTATTCTGGAAAAGATATACTTTGAGAGCATTACATTGAACAGAGAATTATTTCATGTTTTTTGAGTACGTTTTCCAATACTCATTCCATATTACTTCTGATCTGCTTCATAAATAAATCAAATAAAAGTTTTGCCTAAATGAAATGTCAAAAATCAACTAATATTATATGAAAATAACATATCTGGTATAAAAATGTATTATTTGTCGTCGTTAAACTCAAGTATGTAGGGGGTTTCCGGAGGAAATTACGGGTTGTATATTACGGAAATGAAAGACTATCAGATAGTAATCGTAGCATAAATGGGTAAGATTTCACTGACGGTTAGGATTTTCATGAATTTGCATTATCATTGATAATTAATTTGTGTGCAGATATTCAATTGTTCTTCAGTATAATTTGCATCAATTTTTCTCTAGTTCACAGCTCAATTCTCACAGGATTCTTTTCGGTTTATATATAGGACACCATAATCAATAGATAGTAGTTAAAACAGAACACTTGAGATTCTGATAAATGAAATTTGCCATAATTCTACATAATATGTTCCATCACTTCTCGTTCTGATATTGCACATGCATAGTTCAAATTGATGATCAATTCATTCTGAAACTAATTTTGTGATTGACTCGGCATATTATATCCATGTGTTTATGAATCAACACAGCGTCATTCACAAGTTGCCCTACGTGAGCATATACAAATTTCATCACACACACGTTTCTTTCATTACAATTAATATGCTACGTTGATTTGTGTTCTAATTTCAAGACGGAACTCGTAAGTGATAGCTATAGTGATTGAGGTTGTAAAGATGTTCACTGAAAAGTTTTCTCTGAATGACGCTCTCGTGATCACTGATGTAATAATAACTGACTAGTGTTCAATAATCGAGAGTGTTTGACAGTTTTGTATGTGAGTAGAATTACTACGCGATCAACAACAACTGGTTAAGAGGAACGGAAAAGGCTTATCACTGAATTTTTTGTTCTTCTCTCAAAAAGGGAATACAAGATTGACGCACATCCACGTGCGAACCGGACTTTTCTTCAAACGAATCTTCTGCAGGAATCAGTGATTGATATCAGTATATTAAAATTAAGCATGCTTTCTAATCAAACACCACTGGTTGATGGATAGTTCCAGATGTACCGTCATAAAATGGTGTCGGTCAAGGCTGTGGACTCTCTCAATTCATGTTTAACTTTTTTGAGGACATGCTTTCAGATTTAACATTATCATCCTCTGACTTTCCAATAGGGAACTGTTATCAGGAGACACGCGTGCTGACTAAAAATATGCTGATGACAGTCCGTGCGAATGCCGACAAACTGCACAAAGTCGCTGACCATTGAACTAAGTCATGTTTGTTAGTGTTAACTGCCTTGATGGAGTCCGCGAAATAAAATAAGGTGATGATAAGAGACCTTGGATGATATGCCTCGAAATTTTTTACAATGGCGGACATGTATTTATTCATTGTGCTCCCTCAAATTTTAAATTTCTAAAATCCTCATCAGCATCATCTTTCTATTTCTAAAGATATCTTAATGGGGAATCGGAGGTATCACATTGGTTAGCCATTCAGGATTACTGAAGATCGTGTGTAACCGAAATGCCGCTGATGACCAGATAAACAGATCCCTTAAAGGTTATGCCCAATAATCAACTTTCCGAGTTTAAAAATGTGCTTTCGAAGAAGCAACAGACCTATATTGAACCTGACACTTTCAAGATTTATAAACGCATGTATTTTGTGTTCTAATTAAGCGGGATAAATGCTTTGTGTAAACCTCAAAATTTTACGAAACTGCTTTGATCATCATTTCGATTCCCAACATCAGAAAACGGACATTTGAAATAAAGATGCGTGTTTATATCCAACAAAATGTCAACCGCATTGTCCGAAATACAATAAATTACAGAGTACTGTAACTGATTCCAGTCAATAGCTGGTAGAGCGGCACTATAGTTTGTGTGAACTAGCGAACTGTGAATACATACTGTATAATTGCACCATTGAAAAAAGCCACCGGGCTGAGTTGACTATAAATCCATTTGCATTTGAAAGTCTGAACAATCAAAGCCTACGTATTCTGCGGAGGAAGTGAACTACAACACGCCGTTCATTTATTTATCAAGTACACTGAACCAAAACATTTGCACTGGATCATAGATATTCATATGTATTCACATAAAACTAAAACTCCTACACGTTATTTGAACAGAATACTGGTCTCAGTAACATTCACCAATTGAAAAAATGAGAAGTAATACGGAAAGCATCTCGCAATACTAAAACAAAAAAACCCGCAAAAATTAACCATGCAATTAGATGTGTTTGAGATATATTTTCCGTAATATTAAAAAAATGTACGTCATTACTTACTGAGAAATTCAGTTAATAACTCACATGATTAAAATGACCATTTTGAAGGTTATTTGCACGGTATTGAGGAACTGAACTTGTTATGATGAATAACCATCAATTGCTTCTGGATGATGATACAACCAGAAGACGATAAGGTTTTGGTAACCAATAAAATGTACACCTAGATTTGTACTTCACTGATGTTGCGGAACAACACAAGTCACTACTGTCATAACTGACCTGATATAAACGTTTGTTTCAGACATTTATTTCACTGTTCCAATGACAAATTAGGGAGCGAATATAAAGTCACAGGTCAAGAAATGTAAACAGGATTATTTTCTTTTCCGGATTGATGAAATGGCTAGATCGTAAAATACTGTAAGTTTCTTCACAGCAGAAATGAATTAATAAACACGATATGGTCAGAGTTATGCATAGTTATAATACACTAACTGTCAAAGTCGATACATGCATTTTGAAATTCAGATCAACCTTGCGCCTCAATCATGCTACTCAACTTTTCTCGGTATAGTGTGTTCAGGTTGATGTATCTTGTATTTTTTGAAAAATCCAAATTTCCCCCTTGTGAAATTTGAAACCTTCTGCTTTTAAATAGGTTGCCTCTCTGGTAGTACTGTCCTAAATTTGTTAATGCGTGCAGCGTCTGGACAACGAATCCGAAACATTTTGCGAACGCAACTGCTCATAAATACTTGTATTTTCTGGATGTCGGCTTTGGTAGTTCTCCACACTTCCGCTCCATACATTAGAACTGTCTGGACATTGTATTGAAAACTCTGATTTTTGTGTTGATTGATGTCTGTTTTCTCCAGGTGCTGATGTCTTCGTAAACCAGTATATCACCGAGGGAAATAGATGGGGTGAGAGTTAGCAACCTTGTTTGACACCGGTTTTCAACCTCCAAGCAGCATATTGCAGTTGAATCCATCCGAAGAATTTCGTATGATGTTGACTATCTTCTCAGGCACTCCGTAGTATCGAAGAAGCCTCCATAGTGTTTTCCTGTCGATGCTATCGAATGCTTTCTCATCTATGGAGTTGATGTAGAGCGGTGAGTAAGATTCAATTGATTGTTCCTCAATAATCCTCACTGTTGAAACATATGTACCAATACGCTGCTCAAGACATTTCCTCGTATTGAAAGGAAAGTGATGACGCCGTCATTGCTAGATCATCCACATAATTTTGTTCGCTCTTCTTCTTTTTTGTGTTTGCTTTTGTGTATTCAGCTTGTGTCTTGATTCTCTCTGTTCTTGTTCGTCTAACAAACGTTTGCCTTTCTACATTTTTTTCAAGAGTACCAACATGGATCCTCTCATTGTGATAGTGCTTTTTTTGACAACGAACCTCCTGAAATGTTAAAGCAATTGCCTCTTTATCTTTTTCCAATTTTCAACCATGGCTGATTCCTCTCCATCAAGTAGACGTTGCAAGAAATGGAACTTATTCACGAAAGCTTTCTTGAATTCGTTGAGTGTTACGGCATTTGGAAGAAACGCCGTCCTAAACTTCTGTAATGTTGTTTGATCAGTTTTTCAGTGCTTCTTTACCTACAGTTTTATTTTTGCGAACAGTCAGTGGTGATCCGAGGCTATT